AATGTTGAAACACTAATTTAAAAATAGAAAAGAGTCAAATAGGCCCCTAAGTTTTACCCCAAAAGTCAATTAGGTCCCTAAACTGTTAAAAAGTGCAATTAAACCCTCAAATATGTCAAATTGGATCATTGAAGCCCAAAAATCAATAAATGACCTGTTATTACAGGTCATTTCAATTCCTGCGACAGTTTGCCGATTACCTACTATTTGTGAAGGTGACTAGTTGGTCGCCTTCTGCAATAGAAGGTGACCGACGACGACAAAATTTGTTGCCAGTCACCAGAATTCGTCGCTGGTCGTTGGAATTGAAATGACCTATAATAACATGTCATTTACCGATTTTTTTTCATTGACCCAATGTGACATGTTTGAGGGTTTAATTGTATATTTTTAAAGTTTATGGGCCTAATTGACTTTTGGATAAAATTTAGGAACCTATTTGACCATTTTCTCATTTAAAAATACACATTAGACATTAGAAAAGTTAAAGAGCAAATACCAATTTTGGTCCCACGAGTATTAGCAAAATGACAGTTTTGGTTCACATGTTTTATTCCTACCAATTTTCATCCACGACTATTGTTTTAGTACCAATTTTCATCCACAACTATTATTTTAGTAACAAAATTTATCACGCCAGTCACCCTTCCATTTAAGACATGCCAAAACCTAAAAATTTTAAGGGCATTTTCGTCTTTTTCAACTGAAGATTCCAATTTGAGCATGAATAAAGGGATTTAAGACCTAAGATCGATCACAATTCTTCTCCTCATCCAACCTTAATTCGAGAAGAAGAACTGCGAATTGAGATAGATATTGGGGCTTAAATCCCTTTATTCAAGCTCAAATTGAGATCTTAATTTGTAAAAGACGAAAATACTCTTAATAATTTCGTATTTCGACATGTCTTAAACAAATAGGTGACCGGCGTAATGAATTTTGGCACTAAAACAATAGTCGTGGATGAGAATTGGTACTAAAACAATAGTCGTGAATGAAAATTGGTAGAAATTAAACATGTGCATTAAAATTATCATTTTACTAATACTCGTGGAACCAAAATTAGTATTTGCTCAAAAGTTAAATATACACACGGGTGAGACACTAGAAAAGTTAAATATACATTAACAATTGACTTTCATCTCGTTAATATATATATGGAGTATATTACATTTGCAAGTTAAATAAAAAATAAAAAAAAGTTTAAAAAGAGACTAGGAAAGAGGGGCAAAAGAGTCACATTGAAAATATATGGGATTAGGGTTTTATATGTCATATATAGAGCGCAGTCTGCACCCACGGCACCACCTCCATATCTGTATCACAGCAGTTGCAGCCGCTCGGAGAAAAAAGTTGCAGTGAAGATGCCGAAGCAAATACATGAGATAAAGGACTTTCTCCTAACAGCGAGGAGGAAAGATGCCAGGTCGGTGAAGATAAAGAAAAACAAGGACTCCGTCAAGTTCAAGGTCCGATGCTCCAAATACCTCTACACCCTCTGCGTCTCCGACTTCGAGAAGGCCGACAAGCTCAAGCAATCCCTTCCTCCTGGTACAGTGTTTCATTTATGTTTTTTTTTTTTTAAGAGTAAATCGTAGCATTAGAGTTTATGCATTGCTAGCTGGTAATCTGCATCTGATATATTGAAAACATATCTTATTTGTAGGTTTGAGCGTGCAAGATCTGTGATCATAGATGATACAGATAGTTGGTGCTTCGACTCGTTTCAGAAGTTATATTATGGCTTTTATAATTTGAAGAAAAAGATGTTTTGAGGATTCTATGTCGCTTGTTATTTTTGATTTTCAATGAATTTTGTTGTTAGAATTAATGCAGTTTATTTTTCCCTTAAATGTTGTTCTTTCGTCATACATCCTACTTGAATGACTTGAATTGCTCTGCAGAATATATATTTCTATTTGGTTGCTTTTCTGCTGAAAATTGATGTTTTCCTGGCATCCTCATAAGATTTGTGTGTTGAGAAATGTTTGTAATATGTGTATGCTCATGGTATTTTAGTACCAATGGCAACCAGAAAGTTGATTGCGTTATGTTTTTATCATTCAACTAGTTTCAAGTTGCTCTTTGTTTCCACTGGCATTTTAGTAGTATTGGCATTAAGCTGTCCAAATTGAAATCCAGTGTTTAACTGCTGTGCTGTATGCGGGTTGCAATGCCCAAGTTTGCCAGCAGCTGCTGCTTCGCATTCAACTGGCTTTATTAATTGATAGAAGGTGGGTACACTGCAGTACCAGTTTTTGTGCATTCTTCCCCTAAAAGGTTGGATCTCCAACACCAAGGGTCTCCACACTCCGGTAAGCATCGGGTGGTTGAAGTCCTGAGGACTTCGAGCGAGGGCTTTCACTCAATGGTGCGATGAGATGCGGTGTGCTCTTAGTTGGAATTTGGTTTTCTTTTGTACCTATTGTTTTGGCTTGCATCGGTGGGGGCTCGCGTGCAGGTTCTTCCGAGCACAGCACTCAATGGCTTAGTTGATCGGGTCAAATGCTGGTGTGCACAAGACAAAATCCCTTCACTGCTGTTGTCGAACCTTGGTCTTTTCTCCTAAATATTTTTTACTGAACTAGTAAGCTAAATCTGTGCGGGCATTTTATGCATTCTGTAATACAAGTAGCTAATAGAAGTGTGTAATAAAAACCAGTAGCACTATTAGTGATAGTGCTCGTAGTTGGGGGAGACGATGCTATAATGCAGTTTGAGTTATACGCCCAAACTGATTTGTCGTGAGTTAATTTAGCATGGAAGTATACTCCTTGTTGAAATTAGGGTAGAAAATAGGAGGTAACATTTTTAATTGAAATAACTAAATATCTTAAAATTGATATTTAGTGATAATAAATTGCGTGGTGGCTGAAAACTTTGTGGTACACTTTGGATGGATGAAGCACCTCTTTGTGATTGTGACTTAATTGGTAATGGATCACATTCTGAACTCTAGATGAAACAGACCTTTGTGATATAGGTAAAGGATCACAATAAAGAATCAAGAATTCTTAATACCCCGAATGTATTTACATATGGTAATATGTTTAATTACGCCCCAATAAATTTGGGTGGAAATCAATAAAAATTAAAATGAAAAGGGTTTATATATAAATTAAATTTCTTTCTAGTCTAGATTTAAAATATGAAAATTCATTTTTTTTTTCCCTCTCCCTATGAGACAAAAGGTGCTCCATAGTCTTGCAATAAATTTATTTGACAAAATTGCCTACCCTTAAAAAAGTCATTCCAAACAAAACTCTCCATAAAGGCTGTGGAAAACACGGAAGTACTTGCATGCAAGGTGTTCGACAAAAGGTTTAAGACACCTAAACTAAACCCGCATGCAGATGCTTGTGCTCTGCTGCTCGATACACTGATAAAAAGATCAAACAGAAACGTCTGTTGTAATGCTCGGAACTACATGGTTTTCTTTAGCTCAGATACTTGTACCTGGTAGCAAGAACTATGGCTCCAGACAGAGAAAGCTTTTCTGCTACACTGCTGCTAAAGTGGAAGTGGAAGCAGCGGAAACTGCAGGCAATCGGACTGGGAATCATTTATCGGTGGACTATTTCACACACACTCTCAACTTCTCCAGAGATGAAGCTATCTCAGCAGTCGCTAAGTTAAGCCCATATAAATCTCAAGCAAATGCCGCCATTGTTGTCGATTATCTGAAACGGATAGGCATGGAGCAGACCCATATCAATGCTGCTGTTTCCAAGTTTCCTAAATTGCTACTCTATCACCCTGACAAAAACCTACACCCCAAAATTCAGTGCCTTGAAGAATTTGGGGTATCTGGGCGAGATCTTGTGGATTTCGTTGCAAGACATCCCTTCTTTCTTGCTAGAGGATTAGAGACTCATCTGAGACCTACCTTGCATTTAATCAGGCAAGCGGCTGGTAGCAATCAGAATGCCGCGAAAGCTCTGAAGAGATTTGGTCGTTTGCTTTCATACAGCAGTTGCAAAACCATTGAAAACAATATACTGCTGCTGCAAAGAGAAGCGGGTTTATCAGATGATCAAATACAACGGTTCATAGTGGAAAGACCATGTTATTTAACAAGTAAGCCTACTTGGATTCGCAATATTTTGACGAGAGTGGAAATGGAGTTTGGCATTTCTCGAAGCTCCCCAGTGTTTTACGGTGGATTACTTGTTGCAGCTGCATTGAATAAGTCAACAGTGGACAAGAAACTGGAAATCTTCAGGAGCTATGGGTGGTCTAATTCAGAAATTTCTACAATGCTGCAAAAACTACCTCAACCTTTAACTCTATCAGAGGCTAGGTTGAAAAAGGTACTGAATTTTTTAATGAAGGAACTTGGGTATGAATCCCATTACCTGGCTTTTCGCCCTGTTCTTCTAAAATATAGTTTGGAGAAGAAGATCATCCCTAGGAGTCAAGTGTTGAAAATTCTTGAAGAAAATGAGCTGAGAGCGTGCTCGCTCTTTACAGCCATAGTGATGAGTGAATCCAAGTTTTTTGGGGAATATGTGCTACCCTACAAGAATAAGCTGCCTGATATGTATCAGAAATACACAACAAGTACAGCTAAATAGATCGATCGAGCATGCAGTAGTACGTAGTTTTTTTCTATATTAATTGTTCGATCTTAGTGTTGTGGGGATATATGACTGATGTTGCTCACTAATTAGCTTGTGTCTTTCATTTCTGTGACATACGTGTTTGGGATATGATTCTGGGATTTTAATTGCAATTGTTGACTTACTTTGCTCACTGAGTGAATGCTGATTTGCATTATGCTTAAATCTTGATTAATTTGAATTTTGATGGCTGCATTTGACTTGTTTCGTTCTCAATCAATTATCTTTTTCTGTGCTTTAACATAAACTGTGCCATATATATGCTATAAACAAAAGAACATGTGTGTGTTCTATTAGACGAGATAACATTATTTTTCTTTAAAAAACAACTAAAATTTTATATTTTAGGGACAATAATAAATTGTGTACTGTGTAGTGGACATAGCTAATACCCAGAATATATGTATTTATTTATACAATATACAATGGTAATATGCCTTATTTGTGTTTTGACGTTGATATCCGCCCTTCTAATTCAATCCAAACGTACTCTCCATAAAAAGAAGTGGGAAACAGGGAAGTGCTTCTCTTGCAATCTTGCATGTAAGGTGCTCGACAAAAGGCTTATCCAAAATCCGGAGATGCTCGGTGCATTGATAAGAAGAAGAAGAAGAAACAAAAAACATCTGTTTTTATGAGTTGTAATGATCGGAACTGCGGGGTTTTCTTCCGCTCAGATACTTGGAATAGCTGGTAGCAAAGACAATGGCGCCAGACACAGGCAGCTTTTCTTCTTCTTCTCTAACTATAAGGGGTCGTTTGGTTCACGGAATGTAAGATTACCTTAGGGAATGTTAGATTGCTGGGAATGTTAGATTACTGGGAATGTTAGATTCCTGTGTTTGGTTAAAATTGGGGTATGTAATATAATGATGTTTGGTTTAGGGTTATCTTTTATACACACTATAATATCCTTAACATATTTTCATATATTTTAATAAATTTAAAAATTAAAATAAATAAATAAGATAACGGTATCATATATAATCACATGATTTTAAAATATTAACTAAAATCTTGAACTTGAGAAACAAAATTATTTTATAAACTAACATAACATAATAAAAATATATATATATATATATATAATTACAAATATATATATATATATATATATATATATATATATATATATATAACTAACATAACCAAGGTTATCTTAGATTACCTAAGATTTTGAAGGGAATCACATTCCCTTCAAAATCCTATGTGGAGGGAATGTGACATTCCTGTGGAATGTTAGATTCCCTGAGATAATATGAACCAAACACGTGAACTTTGGATTGTCACATTCCCTTGATTATCTTATATAACCTGAACCAAACGCCCCCTAACTGTAAATTGAGGTCTTCTACTGGGTTTAGCTACTCCGCGACTGCTAAAGTGGAAGCAGCGGAAACTGCAGGCAATCGGACCTCGGGGCCGGGGAGCCATTTATTGGTGGACTATTTCACGGACTGTCTCAACTTCTCCAGAGATGAAGCTCTCTCAGCAGTCGCTAAGTTAAGCCCATATAAATCTCCAGCAAATGCCGCCATTGTTGTTGATTATCTGAAACGCATAGGCATGGAGCAGATCCATATCAAAGCTGCTGTTTCTAAGTTTCCTAAATTGCTACTCTATCACCCTAACAAAAACCTTAGCCCTAAAATTCAGTGCCTTGAAGAATTCGGGCTATCCGGGTCAGATCTTGTGGATTTCATTGCAAGATATCCCTTTTTCCTTGCTAGAGGGTTAGAGACTCATCTGCGACCTGCCTTACATCTAATCAGACAAGCCGCCGGTAGCAATCAGAATGCCGTGAAAGCTCTAAAGAGATCTGGTCGTTTGCTTTCATACAGCAGTTGCAAAACTATTGAAAACAATATACTGCTGCTGCGAACAGAAGCGGGTTTATCAGATGATCAAATCCAACGCTTTGTAATGGCAAGACCAAGTTCTTTAAGAAGTAATCCTACTTGGATTGACAATATTTTGAAAAGAGTGGAAATGGAGTTTGGGATTTCTCGAAGCTCCCCAATGTTTTACTGTGGATTACTTGTTGCAGCTGCACTGAATAAGTCAACGGTGGACAAGAAACTGGAAATCTTCAGGAGCTATGGGTGGTCTAATTCTGAAATTTCTACAATGCTGCAAAAACTACCTCAACCTTTAACTCTATCAGAGGTGAGGTTGAAAAAGGTACTGAATTTTTTAATGAAGGAGCTTGGGTATGGATCCCAATACCTGGCTTTTCGCCCTGTCATTCTAATATATAGTTTGGAGAAGAAGATCATCCCTAGGAGTGGAGTGTTGAAAATCCTTGAAGAAAATGAGCTGAGAGCTTGCTCGCTCTTTACAGCCATAGTGATGAGTGAATCAAAGTTTTTGGGGGATTATGTGCTACCCTACAAGAATAAACTGCCTGATATGTATCAGAGATACATAAAAACTACAGCAAAATAGATTGAGCTTGCATTCTGCTTTTTTCTATATTTACTTGTGTCTTTGATTTCTGTGACATGTTTGTGATCTGGTCAAGAATGAAGAGATTTCAAATGCAGTTAAATGTTGATGGCTACATTTGTTTAGCTTGTCATTTGACTATGCGACTATCAATTTCCTTGTCAAAAAGCCCAGTATTCTTTGTCTATGATTTAACATAAAGCATAACATGTGTTGTATTAGATACTAAGTATACTGCAAAGTACTATACGGGCGGCTCAATTAGTTTTTCGTAGAATACGAGTTACGCTCAATTTGTGATAAGCACTAGACGGCTTAATGTGCACTTGGATCATTATAATTTATCTTCTCACTGTCATGTCGAATCAAAACATGAAATTTTGGAGATGAAGAAATTTCGCTTTTAAAATTCAATTAATCATTAAATTTAACTGAAAAAAAAAATCAAGAATCACACCACATTTCAAGACAATTAAAAACACCAGAACCAATTTGTGGTGAGCACTAGACAACTAAATGTGCATTTAAATCGTCTTAATTTATCTTTCCACTATCTTATCGGATCAAGACATGAAATTTTAGAGAGGAAGAAATTTCACTTTTAAATTGATTATTAAATTTAACTGAAAAAAAAAAAAATTCAAGAGTCACACAGCATTTCAAGGCAATTAAAAACACCTTTGAACTAATATTTCCATCTACTAGGTCTCATTTTCAACTTACAAGGAATAGTTCCCACCAATTACTTTCTAACAAGCTTATCATTCCATGTAAACAGCAAATGCAAGATAATGAAATTCTCTTGTCTTGACTTAAACATAAGTAACCCATAAATTTTCACGTTAGAATCTGGATTTGATAAACCCTTGCAGTTTATCCTGGGTGTAATGCGTATTTAACTCTGCCTAAAACCACTCGTTGGCACCGGTAGTCGACCAGCGTTATTAGTTGATGAGGTTGATTTCAGAGCCAGGAATCCTTTCCCTGTTGGGAAGAATTACCCGTTTTGAGTATCAAATCAGCAAGTTTTTTGCTTCCGGTTGAGAGGTGAGCAAATTTTGTTACGATTTAGGATTATCTCGTCCCTTGTTTACATCCCATAGTTTTCCTCATTTCCACTCTTCCTATCTTTTGATTTATCGTACTCATTTCTGCAGCGGCGGCCGGCGTCTCTTCTCTCATTTTCATATACTATTAAGCATTTGGTGTTGATATCCACCCTTCTGATTCAATTCAAACTCTCCATAAAGTAGTCCAAGGCTGTTGGAAACAAGGAAGTACTTGCATGCAAAGTGTTCGACAAAAGGCTCCTACCAGAACCAGCAGATGCTTCTGCCCTGCTGCTCTGTACATTGATAAACAGAACAGATAAAAACATCTTTTTTTAATAGTTGTGATGATCAGAACAGCGGGATTTTCTTTTGCTCAGATACTTGGAGTACCTGGTGGCAAAGTCGATGGCTCCAGACACAGGCAGCTTTTCATCTTTTTCTCTAACGATAAATGTAACTTGAGGTCTTCTACAGGGTTTAACTACTCCATTACTGCTAAAGTGGAAGCAGGGGAAACTGCAGCCAATCGGACTGGGAACCATTTATTAGTGGACTGTAGCACAGACTCTCTCAGCTTCTCCAGAGATGATGCTATCTCTGCAGTCGCTAAGTTAAGCAGCTTACGCCCACATAAGTCTCAAGCAAATGCTGTCTTAGTTGTTGATTATCTGGAACGGATAGGCATGGATCAGGCCCATATCAATGCTGCTGTGTCCAAGTTTCCAAAATTGCTACTCTATGACCCTGACAAAAAGCTTCACCCCAAAATTCAGTGCCTGGAAGAATTCGGGCTATCTGGGTCAGATCTTTTCAATTTCATTGCAAAATATCCCTTCGTTCTTGCTAGAGGATTAGACACTCATCTGAGACCTGCCTTACATTTAATCAGACGAGCTGCTGGTAGCAATAAGAATGCTGTGAAAGCTCTAAAGAGATCTGGTCGTTTGCTTTCCTACAGTAGTTGCAAAACTATGGAAGCTAATATACTGTTGCTGCAAGAAGCTGGTTTTTCAGATGATAAAATCCAACAGTTTGTCATGGCAAGGCCACGTTATATAACAAATAAGCCTACTTGGATTGGCAATATTTTGAAAAGAGTGGAAATGGAGTTTGGGATTTCTCGAAACTCCCCAATGTTTTACTGCGGATTACTTGTTGCAACTGCACTGAATAAGTCAACAGTGGACAAGAAACTTGAAATTTTCAGGAGCTATGGGTGGTCTAATTCAGAAATTTCTACCATGGTGCAAAAACTACCCCATTCTTTAACTCTATCAGAGGCTAGGTTGAAAAAGGTACTGAATTTTTTTATGAAGGAACTTGGGTATGAATCCTATTACCTGGCTTTTCGGCCTATCATTCTAACATATAGTTTGGAGAAGAAGAGCATCCCTAGGAGTCAAGTGTTGAAAACTCTTGAAGAAAATAAGCTGAGAGCGTGCTCTCTCTTTACAGCCATAGTGTTGAGTGAACCAAAGTTTATGGGGGATTACGTGTTACCATACAAGAATAAGCTGCCTGATATGTATCAGAGGTACATAAAAAGTAGAGCAAAATAGATGGAGCATGCAGTAGTTTGTTGATTGATTATTCTTGGTGTTGTGGGACTGGCTAAAGTTGCTAACTTGTGTGTTTGAGTTCAGCTACGGGTAGAGAATGTGGGGATTTTCTTTGCTTACTGAATGCTGATTTGTATTATGCTTCAATCTTGATTTTCGAATTTTGATGTCTGCATTTGTTTACCTTGTCATCCAATTTTTCCTGCAGTATTACTCTCCTTTTTTTTGGGATTGGTTATTTCTCTCTTTCCATTTAGGAATAAAAAGCAAGCTGAGAATGGATTGGATTTGCCTAATTGCCTCTATGTCTGCTAGAGATTTTAAGATGATGTTGGAAGAACCAGATTCAGATACCTTTTGTAAGAGTTTGAAGGCCCAGAAACCAAATTATCAATTTTTATTCACAGCTCAAGGCACATAATTTCATATTGAGTTGTTTATGCATTCCAGGTTTTTCTTTTAATATTTAATTCCAATATCGGATTGAAAATTCGATGCCCCAAATGAAAGTAGAAATAAAATACAATGCAAAAATAAGTGAATTATTGCATTTTTAATATAAAAAAAAAATGATTTGATGGAGGAAAAGTTGAAGGAATTGCATTATTGAGATGCTTCCAGCAAGCCTAAGCCAAACAAATGGCAATTCCAATCCTGCATTGTGAAATATTTATGTATCTGTCCCCTTTAAAATTGCAGAGTGGGTTTTGTTAGTGAAATGCTCACATGCCTCCTGCCTTCTGGCATGTGCAACCGCAACCATATATGCGTGACTACTCACTATAATATATATACACCCACTAATCCTGCCGTTGTCTGCGTATTTAATTTAAGTAAGCTTAATAATCCAAACAATTAGCACTCTTTCAATTCAAATCAATAATTACGTACATGCCTGCCTACCTAGCCACGAACCTCGCATGTGAACCCACTAAACAATTCCATTGTACGGTTGACCTCACCAATTACATAACAACAGCATCATGATACTCGCCGTATTCATTATGTGCCCATCATAATTCACTCTTTTTTTTTTTTAATTAATTTTAAATACAATTACTTAACGTTATGTTCATACTTATGACAGCGAGAAAGACGAAAGTGGAGTCTCCTCATTTCATGACAAACTTGTCCGTACATTGTGCAGAAATTTGTACCAAACGCTACGGACCCGATTTATATTTTTCAAAGTTTTTCTTCCATTCTTCCGTACGGTACGCAAGGGGAATAAGAAACGCCATTGCCGAAACGCTGGTACGTGCTTGATAGTGATGGCGACGATGATGCTTGTTTTTTCCTGTGGAATTTAAGATGATTGAGCAGCGGCAAAGGAATCAAGGACTTTTCATCTAAGATCATACCTTTTTTTTCCTTTAATTATCAATAATTTATTTTGAAGTTTAAATTAATTTTAATTTAAAATGACTGTTTTTGTTATTTGTGTATGAAATTGAGCTACTCAACAACCCACCACCAATAGCAATCTTATTGGATAATAACTATTTTAGTAAGAAAATCAGTTACTCTGTTATACTATCAGTAAATATGCTTTACCCGCCTCGATAATCTTCTGACATACTTTTTGAATGCTAATATCCAAAGTCGAGAGAGAAACAACCCACGACCTTCCCAACAAGCACTTGTACACTACCATGTTACACAAATATTCTTGATCCGAACCCCTTACCATTGGTTAGAATCACAGATCAATCAAAATTCTTGACATTATTAGTTCAAATATTACTTGTTCTGAGTGGCGAAAGGTCACGCCGACTTCCATGTTCTGTAGAATCTCCGAGAACAACATAGATTGCAATTAATTTATTTCTCATATTTATTTTAGTAATAATATAATTACATAAATCATATTACATATCAAATTTTTAAAATAATTACATACAAACGAGTCATATATTATTCAATTAATTGAGTGATACTTTTGCAGTAATCTTATAATCAAATAAATGTACACTTTCAAATATTAAAATTGTTTATAATTTCATCTTTAATTTTATTATCTAAATATATAATAAAAAATATTATTTGTGCATCACACGAATAATTGGGCAATTATTTGCTCGAATTCAAGCAATGATAACCTCAGAAAACATCAGTTTCATCAATTACACTATATAATATTCGTTGTTATAATTTATATGATATAATTGTATATCGATCTAAATATTCTTAAATACTATAACAAATCTATTGCATGCAACTCACGTGTAATACTAGTCCATTATAATTAAATATATGTTGTATAATTGGTGCAATTCACTAATTTTCGGAGAAGAACGGCCAGGAATGAAGAATAAACGTAACTTCTTAGGAAGTGAAGTCTTTTTTTAATTTAAACACAATATTATTCCGTCAAAGTTTTGTCAGACAAATGATTTGGAAGATGAAGTAATTGGTTGACTGGTTTGTTAATAAAATAATTTAAAAATATAAAATAAATAAATAAATGTAATATACTCCAATATGTTCTGACTAAACATTCTTATGAACGTATATATATTCTC